GCTCTTACCATCATACAGACCGCACCAATCACCATCAGCAGCAGCATCACAATAATAATAGTAAAAATAATAATAATAATAAACAATAATAAAAACAATAAGAACAATCATCATCATCATCATCATCATCATCATCATCATCATCATCATCATCATCATCATCATGCCCCTGATCACAATCAACCTCTTCCCTCCGTCTCCCACCAACTCCATCATCCACATCCCCCCGCCATCCCCCATTACATCCCCATTCCTCTCTCGCTCCTCCGCCTCCTCCTGATATCTCCCCTGCTTCTCCTCCTCTTCCTCCTTCTCCTCAGCCTCTTCACCTTCATCATATCATCATCAGCATCATCGTCATCATCATCATCATCACCATCATCATCATCATCATCATCGTCGTCATCATCGTCATCATCATCGTCATCGTCATCTGCATCGTCATCAGCGTCGTACGCATCATCATTATCGTAAGCAGCAGCAGCATCACCATCATTGTCGTCATCAGATTCCCCCTCCTCCTCCTCATCATCATAATCATCGCAATCGGCATAAGTATACTTGGCGTCGTCACTAACGTGAGCATCAACACCAGTCACAACCGTCAGCATCATCATCATCATTGCAAGAATCTGCATCATCGTCGTGGCGACCATTACAATCATAGACTCCCCGCCACTATAGTCACCATCATCATCAACATCATCATCCCTATCACCATGATGCGCCTTGTCATCATCGAAATCCTCTCTCCACCTCCTACCCGCTCCATCTTCCTCATCCCCCCTCACTCCCCTGTTCCTCTCTCACTCCTCATTATCCTCCTTTTAATCCCCTTCCTCCTTATCATCCTCACGCTCCTCCTCCGATCCTCTTCGTCCTCATGCTCCTCCTCCGCCTGCTCATCCACCTCCTCCGATTCCTCCTCCTCCTCCTCATGATCATCATAATCATCATCATCATCATCATCATCATCATCATCACCATCATCAGCATCATGATCATCATCATCATCAGCATCAACATCATCATCATCATCATCATCAGCAGCAGCATCATCATCATCAGCAGCAGCAGCAACATCGTAATCACCATTATCATCAGCATCCCCATCATCATCCTCATCCTCATCCTCATCATCAACATCATCATCATCATCACCATCATCAGCATCTTCAAGGTCATCGCCATCGCCATCACAGTCGGCAGCATCATCAGCATCGTCATTATCATCGTCAAAATCATCATCAACATCAGCATCATCAGCATCGTCATCATCAGCATCATCAGCATCATCATCGTCCACAAAATGATAAGCATAAGATCAATAATAATAAGAAGAATAAAGATAATACTCATAATATTTATTACCATCATCACCACCACCACCACCACCATCATCATCATCATCATCATCATCATCATCATCATCATTATCAGCATCATCATCAGCATCATCATCATCATCAACATCATCATCATGGTCATCGTCATCACCGCTATCACCAGCGTCATCATAATCACCGTCATCTTCATAGTCAGCATGACCATCAGCATCAGCAACATCATCATCAGCATCATCAACAGCCTCATCAGCAGCAGCAGCATCGTCATCACCATCATCATAATCGACAACATCATCAGAATCATGATCGTCAGCGTCATCATCATCATCATCAACATCGTCACCAGCGTCATCAGAAGCATCAGCATCATTACCGTCATCTTCAGCATCATCAGATTCACCATCATCGTCATCATCATCATCAGCATCAGCATCAGCATCAGCATCATCATCGCCATCATCGTCAGTATGCTCTCCATCATCACCAGCATTATCAGTATGGTCATCAGCATCATGATCATGATCGCAATCATCATCATTACCATCATCATCATCATCATCATCATCATCATCATCACTCTCATCATCATCATCATCAGCAGCAGCATCAGCATCATCATTACGATCATTGTTCTCACCATCATCATCATCAGCATCATCATCATCATCATTCTCATTATCATCAGCATCATCATGATCACCATCAGCACGATCACTATCAGCATGATCAACATGCTCGTCAGGATCATCATAAGCAGCAGCATGATCATCATCAATACCATCATCAGCATCATCGTTATCATCATGGTCATCGTCATCTTGATGTTCAGCATCATCATGATGACCATCATGATCGTCATGATCCTCATCATCAGTATGATCACCATCATCGTCAGGATCAGATTGGTCAATAGGATGATCATTATCATCATCAACATCATCAGTATCGTCATCATCATGATCATCAGCATAATCATCATCATCATCACCATCATCATCATCATCATGATAATCAGCATGATCATCATTAGAACCATCATCAGCATCATCATCCTCATCATCATCATAGTCGTTAGCATCCTCATCCTCGTCCTCATCATCATAGTCGTCAGCATCATCATCATCATCATCATCATCATCATCATCAGCATCATCAGCATCATCATCAGCATCATAGTCGTCAACCTCATCCTCATCATCATCATCACCATCGTCATGCTCTATCATCTTCCTCGCTCAAAGGACGCATACTTCCGAAGCTCCTGTACCCGAGGCCCGGGGCACGGCCTCCTGCCCCATCATATCCCAACAAAGGGCGTGCCCTCCCCCCCCCCCTGGCGCAGACACGAGAAATCCGCGCGTTCCGTCAGGAGTGACCCCCACACCACTCCCTGTACAGACCCGAGAAAGCCGTGCGGTCCGTCAAACATTTTTATTTTTTTTATTATTATTTTTTGTTGTGCGCGTCCTGACTGTTACTCTACGACCCCCCCCCTCTTCGCTGGCAACTCGTGGGAGCCTCCCAGAGGGCCATCCTGCCGGCTCTTGCGCATCGATGCTCACCGAAGCGAACCGACGAAATCGGCGCTCTCCCATCGAATCCCGGACGCCAGCGCACGCCGACGCACTCGAAAAGGCAGAATCCTGAGGACACACGGGGCTCCCACGATTTGACACCGAACCCCCCCCCCTCGTCGGGCTCGAGGCTGCTGGAAAGCGTCGAATGGACTGTACAGGTGCCCGTGCGTCTGCCCCGGCAGCCTCGAAGGTACCAGTCAGGGTTCGGGATCAGGTGCGGGGTGCTCGAGCAGACGGCAGCGGCGCACGCGAGGAGGAGGAGGAGGAGAAGAGAAGAGAAGAGAAGGAGGGGAAAGTACGTAGGACAGTCCATGAAATGCTCGCGCCGGGGAAAAAACACGACGGGAAATTGTTTGTTGATAAATTCTGGCTTCCAGGAACCCTCGCTGGGCCCCAGGACCGTCCAAAACGACTCGCGATGAAAGAATGGCCCTGGGGAAAGGGTCGAAACGAAAAAGCAGGACATTGCATGTCTGGGATACGGTGCGGTGACAGAACCGTGCGGTGGTCTCGAGATCAACAAAAAAACCTCACCGTACGGTCAGTCACCACCATCTCTGGGGACTCTGCGGACCCTGGCCGCCGAGGCATCCGTCGGAGAACGGCCCAAAACGGTCCGCTGGCCTCAAATCACCGTTGACTCACAGCACGGTGTGGTCACCGCACCGTTTCGGGACGCCCGACGATTGGCTCAGGAAACGCACCACGAACTCCAGGGCATGAAACGGTGTGGTCACCGAAACGTTTGGGGACCCCCGACGATTGGCTCAGGACACGCTCCACGAATTCCAGAGCATCTGGCACCATCATTTCTGGAGTCCCGCCAGAACACCAGGAAATCCTTGAGCGCAGCATTATCATGCCTTCTTGATCCTCTGGGCAAAAGGAAAAAGAGGAGGAAGAGGAGCGGAAAATGAGGGAAGGGAGAAGGAGGAATGGGGTGGAGTGGGAGGAGAGAAGATAAGCAGGAGGGAGGTAGGGCGAGAAGAAAGGAGCGAGGAGAAAGAAAACAACGTGGTCGAGGTGGACGACCACACCTACAACAACAACAACAACAACAACAACAACAACAACAACAACAACAACAACAACAACAACGACAACGACAACGACAACGACAACGACAACGACAACGACAACGACAACAGCGACGACGATGCTGAAACCGACAGACCGAAAGCCGCCGAGAATAGCCCCAGGGCGCAACAACCGACAGAACCGAATCAAAAAGTAACCAGCTGCACCAGACTGCGACGCAGCCGACCGAACAAAGTTGTGGACACCCGTGTTCGCACTCTTCACCACATGATGAGCCCCTCTCCTCTTCCACCTCCGACGACGACAACGATGACGACAACGACCGATGACGACGACCGACGACGACGACGACGACGACGACGACGACGACGACGACGACGCCAGCGACGACGGCGGCGGCGGCGACGGCGACGGCAAAGGCCAACGACGCACTCCAAGGGTGACGAAGACCGCGACGACTTCGCTGTCAACGACGACGACGACGATGACGACAGCCAGGACGACGGCGGCGGCGACGGCGACGGCAAAGGACAACGACGCACTAGAGCGACGAAGAACGCGACGACTTCGCTGTCAACGACGACAACGACGACGACGCCGACGACGACGACGACAGCGAGGACGACGGCGGCGGCGACGGCGACGGCAAAGGCCAACGACGCACTCCAAGGGTGACGAAAACCGCGACGGCTTCGCTGTCAACGACGACGACGACGATGACGACAGCCAGGACGACGGCGGCGGCGACGGCGGCGGCAAACGACGACGACGCACTTCGAGGGCCGCGAAGATCGCGACGATTTCGCTGTCAACGACGACCAGGACGACGACGCCGAAGACGACGATTGCGACGACGACGACGACGACGACAACGACGACGACGACGACGACGACGACGAAGACGACGACGAAGACGACGACGCACTTGGAGAGCGACAAAGACCGCGACGACTTCGCTGTCAGCGGGGACGACGACGACGACGACGACGACGACGACGACGACGACGACGACGCGGCCGCCCGCAACGCGCAGCCGCGCCTCCGTGGCCCGCTTCGGCCGCCCGCTGTGCTTGGGCTCGGGTTCCTGTGCGCCCCGCGGCGCGGGAGGGTGGGCGACGAGGACGGTGTCATGGAGGCAGAGGAGAAGCGAGGAGGAAGAGGGAGGAAAAGCGAAGAGGAGGGCAGCAGAGAAGGAAGAGGCGGAGGAGGAGGAAGAGGAGGAGGAGGAGGAGAAAGAGGAGGGAACAAAAGAAGGAGGAGGAGGGAAAGGCGGAGGAGGCGGAAGAGGAGGAGGAGCGGGGAGGAGCGAGGAGGAGCGGGGAGAAGGACGAGGAGGAGGAGGAGGGGGAGGAGGAGGAGGAGGAGGAGGAGGAGGAGGAGGAGGATAAGAAGGAGGAGGAGGAGGAGGAAGGATAGAGGAGGGATGATGGAGACCAGGCTACGACGGCCCCGAAGGGAAGATATTCGTGGGCCTGGCACAAACAGGGGGCGTCCCTCCGATCGGATTTTTGCCACCCTGGCGGAGATGAGGAGCCCGCCACGGCAGCGACATGGTGCCACCAATACTACCTGCTTTTCGGCCTGGGCTGCATGAGCCCGAGTCCGCTCCCGTTCGCTACTCGTACACTGGAACAGTCGGGAGCTGAAAGGAAACCGAGGGTACGACAGTGGCGGCAGTCGTCTGACCCCTAGGCTTCTGACCTGATCGGAAGAGTCGATGACTTGCCTCGCTCTACTGGTTGGCCCCACACAACTGCGATACTCACGAAGAACCGGCATGTCTTTCTCGCACGGGGCTGCGCAAGGCTCGGCCAGGTTCCTGGCGCAGCGCTGGGCCCAGCAACCACAATGAGCACACACAAAGGCTGGAGCCAGGCATCCTCTGACCCAAAATCTAGAAGCGCCGTCAAGATAAGCGAGCTGGGCAGACATGAAAATAAAACCGGGATCGCAATCTTGTCATCCCTCGTCCTCCTCCTCCTCCTCCTCCTGCTGCTCCTCGTCCTCCTCCTCCTCCTGCCCCTTTTTACATTCGTCCTCCTCCACCCGCTCCTCACCACCACCACCGCTCTCCCCCCCCATCATTGCCCGGGTAGCCGGGCAGACGAGAAAATAAAACCGGGATCGCAATCTTGTCATCCCTCGTCCTCCTCCCCCTCCTTCTGCTGCTCCTCGTCCCCCTCCTCCTGCCCCTTTTTACCTTCCTCCTCCTCCACCCGCTCCTCACCACCACCACCGCTCTCCCACCCCATCATTGCCCGGCTAGCCGGGCAGACAAGAAAATAAAACCGGGATCGCAATCTTGTCATCCCTCATCGTCCTCGTCCTCCTCCTCCTCCTCCTCCTCCTGCTGCTCCTCATCCTCCTCCTCCTGCCCCTTTTTTCCTTCCTCCTCCTCCTCCTCCTCCTCACCACCACCACCGCTCTCCCACCCCATCATTGCCCGGCTAGCCGGGCAGACAAGAAAATAAAACCGGAATCGCAATCTTGTCAGCCCTCGTCCTCCTCCTCCTCCTGCTGCTCCTCGTCCTCCTCCTCCTGCCCCTTTTTTTCCTTCCTCCTCCTCCACCCGCTCCTCACCACCACCACCGCTCTCCCCCCCATCATTGCCCGGCCGGCCGGGCACGCGAGAAAGTAAAACTGGGATCGCAATCTTGTCATCCCTCGTCGTCCTCCTCCTCGTCGTCCTCCTCCTCCTCCTCCTGCTGCTCCTCGTCCTCCTCCTCCTGCCCCTTTTTACCTTCGTCCTTCTCCACCCGCTCCTCGCCACCACCACCGCTCCCCCCCCCCATCATTGCCCGGCTAGCCGGGCAGACGAGAAAATAAAACCGGGATCGCAATCTTGTCATCCCTCGTCCTTCTCCTCCTCCTCCTCCTGCTGCTCCTCGTCCTCCTCCTCCTGCCCCTTTTTACCTTCCTCCTCCTCCACCCGCTCCGCACCACCACCACCGCTCTCCCCCCCAATCATTGCCCGGCTAGCCGGCAGACAAGAAAATAAAACCGGGATCGCAATCTTGTCATCCCTCGTCCTCCTCCTCCTCCTGCTGCTCCTCGTCCTCCTCCTCCTGCCCCTTTTTACCTTCCTCCTCCTCCACCCGCTCCTCACCACCACCACCGCTCTCCCCCCCCATCATTGCCCGGCCAGCCGGGCAGACGAGAAAATAAAACCGGGATCGCAATCTTGTCATCCCTCGTCCTCCTCCTCCTCCTCCTCCTCCTGCTGCTCCTCGTCCTCCTCCTCCTCTTCCTCCTCCTCTCCTCCTCCTCATCCTGCCCCTTTTACCTTCCTCCTCCTCCACCCGCTCCTCACCACCACCACCGCTCTCCCCCCCCATCATTGCCCGGCTAGCCGGGCAGGCGAGAAAATAAAAACCGGGGTCGCAATCGTGTCATCCCTCGTCCTCCTCCTCCTCCTCCTCCTCCTCCTCCTCCTCCTCCTCCTCCTCCTCCTCCTCCTCCTCCTCCTCCTCCTCCTCCCGGACCCCCAGTTTCCCAGGCGCTCCTGGGAGCTCTCGCGCGCTCTCGCGCAGTCCTGCGGTGTTTCGCGTGGGCTTTTGGACGCCAAAAGCCCCAAGACGGGCCAAGAGGACCCCAACAGGCCCCCAAGACGGACCAAGAGGGCCCCGAGACGCCAAACGAGCGCTCCAACACGCCCATGATGGCCCCAAGGCGGGCCTAGAGGCCTCCAAGACGGCCCTAGAGGCTCCCGAGAAGCCAACCAAGAGGGCCCCGAGCGGCTAAATTTGTTGATTTTCTATGTGTTGGTCGATGTGTTTTTTACATTCTCGCCTTTTCGTCTTCCCGGCGCTCCAAGACAGACCAAGAGGCCCCGAATACCGCCCCAAGACGGCCCAAGAGGCCCCCAAGACGGCCCCAAGACGGCCTCAAGACGGCCCAAGACGGCCCCAAGACGGCCCAAGAGGCCCCCAAGACGGTCCGAGAGGGCTCCAAGACGGCACCAAGAGAGGCACAAGAGGGCGACCAAAGATACCAAAATTTTCGCTTCCCTCCCCAGGGGCCCCAGAAAGCCCCAAGAGTGCCCGAAGAGGCCTCCAGAGGCCCCTAGAAGCCCCCTCGACTCCCCAACGAGCCCCCAAGAGGCTCCCAGGAGGCCTCAAAAAGACCCCCAGAGGCCCCAAAACGGCCCCCAAGGGGCTTCAAAACTGCCTTCCACAGGCCCCCGAGAGGCGTGCCACGAGATCCCGCCACACATACAAGTAGCCTCTAACCCAAAACCCAGGCACGGTGGCGGGATAGGCCGAAGGCCACTAGATCCGCCGCCCCCTGCTTGCAGGGGTGCACGGCGTGCTGGATGATTCAGTTTTGGTTTTGGTTCTTTTTCTAAAAGAACTCCCCAGTGGGCTTCGGCCCGTCCCGCCGGCCACCCGTAAATTTCCGAAAATCCGTCTGTCAATGCCTTTGTTGCCCCAACTTGGCCCAAGATGGCCTCCAAGACGGCCAAGATGGCCCAAGATGGCCTCCAAGATGCTTCCAAGACGGCCACGATGGCCTCCAAGACGGGTAAGATGGCTCCAAGATGCCTCCAAGACGGCCCAAGATGCCCTCCAAGACGGCCAAGATGGCCCCAAGATGCCTCCAAGATGGCCCACGAGGCCTCCAAGACGTTCTCCAGGAGAGCCCGAAGAGGCCAAAATCATTGGTTTTCCTTAGGTTTTTGAAGGTTTTTTGCGTTTTCTTCTTTTCGGCCTTCCGACGGCCCAAGAGGCCCCCAAGATCGCCCAAGAGGCCTCCAAGAAGGCCCTATGACGGCCCAAGGGCCCCCCAAGACGGCCCCAAGAGCGCCCCAAGACGGCCCAAGAGGCCTCCAAGACGCCCAACATGGCCTCCAAGACGGCCCTGAAGCGCCCCAAGAGGGCCCCAAGACGGCCCAGAGAGGCCCCCAAGACGGCTCCAGACGGCGTCAGACGGACCAGGAACGCCCTAAGACGGCCAAAGAGACCCCCAGGAAGCCCCCAAAGGCCCCCAAGAGGCCCAAGGAGGCCCCCAAGATGCCTCCAAGAGGCCTCGAAGAGGCCCCCAAGAAGCTCCCAACAGACCCCAAGGGTGCCCCAAGAGACTCCTAACAACCCTCATCCTCCTACTCTATTTCTTCCTCTTCCTCTTCCTGTTCATAATCATTCTCTCCCATGTGTTCCCCGAAAGCTTTCCAAACCGACTCGGGGAACTCATGGTCCGATAGCTTGGCCAAGCTCTAGTCCAACTTTCGGCCACATCGGCGTTTCCAAAAAGGCAGGGGGCGGCGGTGATTCGCCGTAGGCGTCTTCGATAGTTTTGACCTAAGGCCCAGCTGCTTGCACACCATAACGCCGGCCACGATCGTTGCGTGCGCTGTCGCACTCGTGGCACAGGTATTACGACTGCCATCGATGTGTTGCCCTCAGGAGAGAAGGGTGTCCTGGGCATGTTAGTGCGGCCAATGTTGTTCGGCATCTCGGCGAGGAGCAAGCCGAGTTGGTTGCCGAGGTCGGATTTTTCCCTAGCCACATCTGAGCACGTGTTTGTTTCCCCTGCGCGGAGGTCTCCGAGGAGGGCCAGCTCAGGTTCGCGAAAGTCCTCCTTGGATGGAGGTTGTCGGATGAGGTGTTCCTGGACGGGTCAGCGTTTCACTCTCACATGCAAGGACTTAACCGCGCAGGGTGGTCAGTCATCCAGAAGAATCGTGAGGGCCAGCTCTTCGGCGCCACGTACGGCGCCGTCCCTCTCCACGCTGCCCCAAAACAGGCGGCTCGCGACGGGGAGGACTGAGCCTTTCGGATGCTAGCGTAGTTCAGTGAGTGGCCGACGGGGGATCAACTTGTCGTACATCCTGCTTGTGCGGTCTCTATCGGATGTGCACAAGATTAGAGTGTAGCCTCAGGGATCGATAACCCGAGACAGCAACTGTGGCGCAGTTGGTGGCAAGGTCTAGACAGACAAGCTCGGGCTGTCAGAGTTGTTGCGCACCAGATCCTAGCCTCGGCCACGTCGGACCATGAGGAATGTCCCACCAGAGGCAACGCGATGGCCGACACTCCTGGGCTAAACTCTGGGAAACTTCGGAGGGGCATTTAGATGTCGTTCTGG